CAGCGATGGGTGGGCGGAACATGTAATCTAGGCTGTCTACGGACCGCTTTAAGGTATAATTCTGGACGACATACCAGTCCTATCTCTCACTTCTTACTATGCTTACAAATACCAGCAGTCAGTGATAACCATTCACGAAAGTCTCCAGCTCGCAGGGGTTGGTTGCCGAGTGGAAATCCATTCAGTCTTCCATGGTCATTTTAGGAAAACGTAAGGTGACTTGCAGAAAAAAACACGCATTTTCCTTATCTACGCAGCTACCTCACCACTCGCAGAAATATTTCTATCCCATTGGATAGCACTACGCATGGAATGTAACGTCTACGTTTGTCAAAATATCACGGGCGGAGAACACTTCGATAAATTTTGGAAGAGTGGCTCATAGTTCACGGGGTGAAGTGGTTTTGATGGATACCTGTAGCAACATTTGTGATATAAAACGCCGCCTGCGTGTGTTTAGCAGTGTGGTTTCGAAGGAGTATATTTTTGGTACATTTTCAACAAGCACCTAGGCACACAAGGTTTATAAACCAGCACAAGATTAGTATCTGGTAGCGTGTACAAAAGCGCCTCTAAAAGAAGGAGAGGAGGCGACCTAGGAACTGTTTCGAAACGAACAGCCATGAGAGCCTTCGATAATTAACGAATTCAGTGTTTTGCCCCCTCCCCCCCTTGAAGGAGGTAGTCTTACAGAGCATCTGAGAACGATAACAGTTGGACCTGGAAACGATGCTGAACTCGAAAGTGTACAGTGTCTAAGCATGGAAATTCCGATGAAAAGATATGTTAATGGGCCTAAATTCTGATCGCAGGTCACTAACAGTGTTGTTTCTGAATGCTATAAAATATAGGTAAGATAAAAAAAAGTTCTGGCAGTTCTGGGAATGAGTCCAAATAACTTACTTGAAGTAGGTAGGGAATATGTGATTCGAAAGGCTGAAAGGAGGAACCTAACGCCGCTCCTGACAGCAGAAGATCACCTGTTACCTGAATATCAGCCGGATTGACGAGAATAATTTTTAAAAATGTGTTCAGATTTCCCCTGTAGCCATAAATTGACCTATAAAAGTAACCAATTGGTCAAACTAATCACTGACTTTGCCCTGAGGGGTCGGATGTCGAAGACACGGAGATGATCGTCAGGAGAGCGGGGCAATTTCGCAGTGATCGCTTCATTGAGGCGCTGAGCAAGTGAACGCAGAGTCCTTTGCATTTGGCCAGCATCTAAGTCGCCGACCGGGTATTCGATAAACAAATAGGGTAGGACTCCATGAATATGAGCACATAGCTTCTGGCCTATGTGAGGATGTAGAAGGGATTCACTCTTATCATAAAAGAAGCAAAACATGTTTTTAAGTCTGACAGTTCAGTATATTTTGCGAATAAAGTTTCTTAAACCAAAGCTGCATTAAAAGTCTCGGTTTGAAAATTAAACTGGACTAGTTAGAAGCATGCACACAGCTATTTTACAAATGGCGTTTAAGTTAAATAAATTCCACTTAGAGTGCACATGTCACTCCCAAAAGTCCGGCCTAAGGTCATACGCGTTGAACTTGCTGTACGATCTGCCACAGGCCTTAATGGCTAGCGTGGATCAAGGTGCCCTTTGAAATAGAAGAATTGGGAGCAGCAGAAGACTAGTCTATGCCAGCGAATTATTTGGGCACGGTGGTGAATAAGGCTGATAACTGAACATCATTGAGGGTGATAACCATGGGACTTAAAAAGAACATAGGTCTATAAACTAAAAAACGAAAAAATACTTAAATAATTCCCGTCGTTTGCCTTGATTACAGTGGCATTAAGGTAAAAGAGCCCGGTGCGTTTTTTTATTAAAGGCATTTTTGATAATGCCTAGTTTCGTATGATTAAAGAGAGCGGGATACATTGCTGCTTTTTTTCCTTCACACCACATCAGGTCACCTGTCAATGTGGCAAAAATATATAACAGTTCATGCGAAAATGGCAAAGAACTGTTGAGTTTCACTGGCAACAAACTTTAATTTAACATAAATACACGGTTTCTATAACACTGCAAGCATCTCCCGACATGGTATTTCAAACATTGATCACCAACGTAACAGCCTGTCTTCGCTTGGCTAATGATTCCAAAAATGGTGACATGACATCCGATACATGCGTGTTTTCAAAGATGATAACACCTTCGAGTTAAATTATGTTCTCATCTGCACAGGATGAAGCTCATTAACCCGAGCCGAAACGTCTCCTACCAGTCTTTCTGATATCTCATAATCACGACCCAAGCACAGTTAGGTCGTCGAAGGACGCCCGACCAATTTTTGTTGCTATTCGAATGCTTTTTGTTCGAATTTGAAAGTCCAGAAGAACCTTTGCAGAATAATGGTCCGTGAGTTTTCAACACGTATGAATAGGGTTAGTTAAGCATTTGTTTTAAGAATTCCCGTCGGCCATATTCACTTACATTGCATGCTGGTATCAAAGTGGAAATTACGAAACTGGATGGGAAAGAGGCTGTCTGGGGTAACGAGGCACGGCGGACGGTTAATTGTGCGCAATTAGTCTGCATATGATTGTAGATGGTTTTTCAAACCGACTAAAGCCAACAAGAATCACTTAAATGCCAACTCTATACAAAACTGCAAAGATATGTCGAGAAGTAAGCGTAAACATGCCCGATTAACTTTCCTCTTAATCAGATTATCTCAGGAGACACTACAATGGTATTATGCATCGAGTGGGACTCCGTTGAGCACATCTGTTTACTTAATTAGAAAAATACAAATAAACGATTTTAAAGTACTTGGTTTTCGCTTTTTGGTGCTTGATCTACGCGCAAATATTTGTGGGTAATTGTAGAACTGATGAGTTGACAAATTTCAGGGCATGAAAAGACTGCGAATTTTTTTCGCATTTAACGCATAACGGTAAATGTTACGAAATCACATATTTTGGGAGACTTTGGAGATCAACCTGTTGATGAAACCAAATCCGACAAACTAAACACAGCGAACTGGATACGCGTCCAGTCCGACTGTCCGAGTTTTCTAGTCTTTTAAGCAGACCTAGCAGTGAGTCTCGGGCCACTGTGTCGAAGTCTCAGCACATTTCAGTTCTAGTCTACGAAATCGACTGGTGATGTTTGCCTTCGGATATGTTTTCTTTTATTTGACAATCGAAAGTACGCCGATGGCACGTTCAAATTATTCAGCGGTATTCGTACCGCTGAACAATTCGAAATTAACCACACCATCTGACAGAGTTTCAGGCCACATGAACTAATTCGCCGAAGATATGCACGCATATTAATAGTCTAGAATTTAGGCAAAAAGTCACGAACCCGCGGGCGATGAACCAAAACACCGAATAACTGGAAGGGTAGTGCAGACTTTCCCTTGTAGCTCCGAATACAGCAGACTGGAACCATCCGGTGGTTTATCGAAATAGTATTCTAATTTAAAAATTTTGAGCAAAAAATCAATTGGCATTAGGGGAAAATGACCAGCACAGAACGGTCAGATGGGCGTAAACGGTCTGGTCCGTGTCGCGGCTCTCCGCCCCTCCCTTTCGAAGTTCTCATTGGTTGCTCGCTCAGTTCGCTGAACAGTTGGGATCTGTCCGCTGATTGGCTTGTATGTTTTACGAAGATGGACAAGCTATAGGCGGCCCAACCGTGCTTCTGACATGTGTGAAAACCCTCTTATTCGACCCCCAATAAGAGCTCAAGACAGAACCATGAGGGGAACATAAGGGATTCTTAAGGACGATGGAAGGATGGATTAGAGTTCAGATAGGATAGGGATTATTGGAAGGTCTTTTGGCAGGGACTGACTGGCCTGGAGACTGCACTTGGTCGATCCGGCAAGCAAGAGCGGCTGTCGCGACTGAATAGGGTTGTGCGTGTGGATGTTTGATAAGCCAAATTGTTTTTCAGTTACATCAACGGTAGGTTAAATAACGGGAAGACAGTCTTAGAGTTGAAAGGTGAAAACAATGAGGATATAAAAGAAAATAGCGCTAAGGCAGAACATGTTGGCCGGTTTTTCGTATTTGTTTTCACCGACGTAACGGACTTTGACGAGGCTGGATGTCCTACTGGAACAACCGACGAAATACTAGAAAACATCGACTTCACGGAAGAAGAGGTGAGGAAGGAACTTCTAGCGCTTAAGAAGGCTAGGTCTCCGGGTTCAGACCAAATAGTGGCAAACTATCTGTGGCAGTGGACTTACGAACCGGCCAGACCGCTTTTGTACATCTTCAGGTCATCTTCTGACTGAGGCATTCTCCCCTCTGATTGGAAAATGGCGAACATATACCCCATTTACAAGAGTGTTTCTGGAACATGTGCAATCAATTATCGGCCGGTGAGCCTGATGTGCATTTGTTTGCAAAGTGATGGAGAGAATAGTCCAAAGCCATGATGAAGATCCTTGAAGAAAATAAGGCGTGACTACAGCTTCGCAACACATATGAAAACCTTATCCCGTCGACCTGTTTTACGGGAATGGTGGTAGGAGGGGTTGTGTGGGTGGGGCCTCTAAAACGTGCCAAACGGCTAGAAATAGAGTTCGCGATAATTATAAAATAACATTTGCTCCGAAATCTGTTAAAATGCATCAAAAGAATCTAAAAAATGGCCTTCAGACTGAAAAGCAGATTACGAGAAGGCAGGAAGCGTCTAGACCAGGCTAGGACGTAAACCATATTTGCCTGCGGGCTGCCCAATCGACAGGTGTGAGTG